TTATGATGGCAATGATGATGATGATGATAATAATGATGATAATGATGACGATAGTAATGATGACAACGATGACAATGATTATGATGATGATGATGATAATGATGATGATAATGATGATGATGATGATAATGATGATGATAACGATGATGATGATGATGATGATGATAATAATGATAATAATTGTGATTATAATGATTTTGATTGACATTGATGATGATAATGTCAATGGTATCAATTATGCTAACAACTAAAATACAAATGATTACAACAGGTCAGCCAAGCACCCCTTTCCCGTGGGCGTGGTACCATGCGTAAGGAGATTGCCATACCAGCTCAGGGTATTGTTGACATCAGGAATAACCTGTCTGAGATATTGGAGGAGTGTGGTTCTGATGATGGTTAGTAGAAAAGTCTGTATTAGTTTTGGTCTTCCTGTGCTAACAGGAAGCCCAAAACAGCTACCTACTTCTAACTTGTCCATTCAGCAGATTTAGCGTCCGTTATGCCGAGTTGGTGGTTGTAATATTGAGGTGTCTGTAATATAAGTTGTCTAGAATGTAGAGAAGTTCATTCAACTGATTTAGCGTTCTTTATGCCGAGTTGAAGGTCGTAATATAGAGGTGTCTGTAATACATGTATAAGTTGTCAAGAATGTAGAGAAGTCTATTCAACAGATTTATCGTTCGTTATGCCGAGTTGATGGTCGTTATAAAGAGACTGTCTGTAATATAAGTTGTCTAGAATGTAGAGGTGTTCATTCAACAGATTTAGCGTCCGTTATGGCGGTGGTCGTAATATAGAGGTGTATGTAATATAAGTTGTCAAGAATGTAGAGAAGTCCATTCGACAGATTTATTGTCCGTTATGCCGAGTTGATGGTCGTAATATAGAGGTGTCTGTAATATAAGTTGTATAGAATGTAGAGAAGTCCATTCAACAGATTTAGCGTCCGTTATGATGGTCGTAATACTAGAGATGCTTGCAATAACATTTGTTAAGAGTATAAAGATGTCCAGTACTGAAGTCTTGCTTTTTTTTTCTTCTGGTTTGTTTTTGTAGAAGAATGCCGTGTTTTGCCAAAGCCCTGTGAGCTACGAATAGAGCAGAAGAAATTCTATTTTGATGTTGGAAACAATGCACGTGGAGTTTTTCTTAGGATCTCTGAGGTATTGAACAGTTTTTGTTTTTTTTCTCAACATTGTGGTCATGATGATATCGATTAGTGACTACTTGCGCTCTTATTGGTCCAGAAGTTATTCTGTGCGCAGTTGTTTCCCAGCCCTTCCCTAGTGGAAAAWTTTTTTTTCTTACTCCTTTCTTTATGGGGAAAATTGTTAAACAGAGAAAAGGAAGRAATAAGCGACTGTTCACTGTTTATTTAATCKTRCGGTAGCCATTCAAAAGTCTAATCCAATTAAATGAATAGTAGATCAGCTCACACGGTTTCAWTAAAGGCCTACATGCATCCAAGATCCTTTGCGCGATTTTATCATTGAAGAAATTAAAATGGTCATCTTTGATTTTGAACCAATTAGAAAGCAACTCTCAACAAGAGATCATTTTCAAAACAAAATAWACGGCCGCAAAGGTTCACGGATACACATGAACCTTTACTTGATTCGATGATCTATAATACAATTAACTTGTTATAACTGTAACTCATTGTTTTCAGGTCACTGCTAATTATCGTACGTCGATCACTATTCCAAAAGTTGGATGGGCGCGGGTCCGAGACACCATTGGTACGTAAAAAACACTAAGATATTGAATAATAAGCCATTCCTATAATAGCCTATGTGGCATGCTTTTGTCTTAACAAAGGCGAAACAAACTACGTCGAAAAATTCACGCTAAAACAGTTCAGAGTTCGGTTTCAGTGGAATTTGAAAGCACATTAGTATTTCAAAATTTCTGATCTTACCGTCCTTGATSCTTTGACTTTGGATAATCCTTTTCAAGCAGGCTCACACCGAATTCTAAGRTATCATTCAGAAATAAAAAGTAGCAAAGCAAAGGAAAGATATAATATAATGTTATTCTCTCCTGAAAAACGACGAAGCCAGGAAGGTGCTGATAGTGCAGTTTTCTCAGAAGCTTGGTTTACAACTCCTTTGCGACGTATAAGTTGAATTTTAGCCCTGTTACCCTATGCGCCCTCTATCTTGGGAACGAGCAAGGCAGTGCCCTCTTTAGCGCTATTTAACTCTGTGGCCAGTATTATTTCACGCTTTTAATGTTTGCTCTCTATTTCACGGCCTTAATAATAATAATAATAATAATAATTTTATTTTATACAGCGCTTATACAAATCTGCTCTAAGCGCTTTCAAATTACAAACAATTACAATGACAGAGTCATGGTAGACTGCGAGCTTAAGATGGCGCCTCATGGCTGCCGCTCTTAGTCCGTCCCAAGATATGAAACTTAAAAATTACAACAATAAAAATTAAAATATAAATGACACTACAAAAAATACATACAAGGAATAAAGAAGCATGCATGATGGCCGGTGGCTCAGATGAGCTCATTCGCCCTTTGATAGGTCTTGTTTTTAGTCCTGCTGGGTGTACATGCCACCCTCCTCACCAGTTAGACTGGTGGGGGAGCCGGTTTAGACGCCGACGACCCGTCCATGAGGCAGGTTGTACTGGGTTACAATGTTACCAGTAGCAGACTCATCGTCTGACCTGACTTTTTTTGCTTAAGCGTCTTTACACATCACAGCATCGATATATTGTTTTTATTTCAGGTGATATGCTGGATAGCATGGAGGGGGAAGACTGAACCGTACATTTATTGTTTTCAATTCCGTAGCATGTTCTAGAATTATTTCCAAATGGTGATTTATAAAATGACGTCACTATTCTCCCAGAATTCCTTTCGAGCCTTTTGCATTTCACATTTCATTCTAATTTAACAAGATTGGCTACTTACAGCTGGCTGACAGGAAGCCACAGTTTATTAAACTTAATAATGCTTGTGCCTATATTTAGATCATTACGTCATACTAGTAAGCAGTATGAGTGTAGGAATGATCCTTTCTCCTGGTGACGTCATGTGATCGGCGAAGTGCACTATGGGATTGACGAAAGTGCAAGGGAAACCATGTTGTGTTTCAGGCTGTTTTGCGAACAGCAAGCATTAGGTATTACTCAGACAGGTCTTTGAGTATACTTTATTATGCAAACATCTGATTTAATGTTCATTTAAAGCATCCTGGRCAACGGATATTCAACGTTAAGTTTCCAAAGAAACTTCGTCTTCCGTTGTTTTAACAACACATCCGCCATCTTGATATCTTTATCAATACCATGATGCACTTCGTCGAAAAATACATGACGWCATTAGTGAAAAGGTCTATGGTCAGTGGTTGTCTTGTAAAATATACAATGCCCACCACTATAAATATTCAGCTCGTTTTCAAATGACCGAGCAAGTGTAAGGGACTGGAAGTGATTTTTTTCTGATGTTAATAAATGAACTGTCATTTTGGAGGAGTGCATTATGGGATGCCTTGAGGTTATTTTACAGCGTTGGTTAGCACTATTTCATTATTATACGTTTATACAATTCGCAGAATTTGSACACATTTTGATGTTTAACTAATAAGTTTCTCAGACGAAGAATTCTGGGAGGATAAGATTGTGACGTTGTTTTAGTAATCAAGTCTTCGAAGTTCGGTAAAATATTGAATTACTTTTAGACAATTATTATACCTATAAACGACAGGCCAGAGAAGCGAAAGAAAATTTAAAGGTTTTCGGTCTTCCTGTGGTGGARTAGTGGTAGACTGGAGACGGGACTAGACCTCGTCTACTTCCTTTGCACTAACACAGGGAGCCCGTGACAAATTTCTAAATTGACAAAAGCAATGATCATAACTGTATTGTGTCCGCTCGACACAGGTAGCCCAATATACTCAGAACAGTTGAGTCTTCCTTATCAGAACCTTAGAGATTTTCTCTCGCTGATGACTACTTATTAATGTATTTTGAAAGCACCAAAACAGGTGAATCCTAAGCATGAATTAATACAGCGCGCTATGTACTTTCTATTAATAATAATACTTCTAAATAGAACACATATCATCACCATATTCCTTGGTGGTCCTATAAATATCCCCAACCCTCCCCACAGCCCCCCGATAAAGACCTAATATTTGTTAACATTGTAAATCAAAAGAATTCCCGTTTACCGCTGTTAGTGGAGACTAACATGAATCCATTTATATACCATGGTGCAATAGTGACGATATGTGTGAAGCCGTTAGCATAAACTTATAACCCTCACAGAAGACATTGAGAAATAGCGATAATACTTGTTGTTCTCAACATTTTGCCGTGTGGCAGCSGATRATATATCAGCTTTTTCTTGGTTATACGTGAGAGAGCGGTAAAAACGATCAGTCGTGTCCATTCAACGCCAGTATTGTACGTTACCAAGGGGATCCATAAACATTTTACGTTATTTGTCGTCATCGGTTCTGACGTCACATGGTAACGGTTGCTAAGCAATAGTTGTAATGATGTATGTGGTATTAGTTGCTAAGTAACAGTATCTATGCTACTTACGTAATCAATTTACTGGTGGACAGTTGACATGGTTTTTTCTACTTCTCTATTATATAAAAAAAGTTAGTTTCTTGGAGATGTTTTGAAACCAAAAAATTGTTTCCTTTTTGAGCGAGGTGGCAGCATTCAGTTACGAGTGTCACACTCTGGGCAGCAACGGCAGCACTATCAGCAGCAGGAGCGTGATAAATAAACTTGTTGAAATACCTTTATGAATTGACTACAATCCTAGACATTTTACGTGGGACATTGCAACGTATTATAGCAAAGTTACAATTTCACAGCACGA